GCTAAGATAGATGCATGTTTCGAACAAGTGTCAAAAGAGCAAAACTTTCTGAACAACCTAATTCTCAAATTTTAAAGCAATTTTTTTGCAGATTCACCCTTTTTGAGCTACTTCTGGGCTAGAAAGGAGTGTGAAAGAACAGTGAAACCTAGAATATTCGCTCTTTTTTGTTTTTTGCAGATTCTCTCGGATCGTCTCCGATTGAACGATATCGTGTGCTCATGTGTCCGTTCGCGTTCGTTGTCGCTATGGCGGATGATGGTCGTGTGCATGGCCGAATGCGCTCAACCTCAGTACGAAATAGCCATTGAGGCTACTAGAGCTTGTGGAGCAATGGTAAGTCCACATATGGTTCGTTTCATGCAAGAAAAAAATCAGTGAGCTTTCTTTGAGTTGATCGAGCAACCACATTTCTCATACGCGCTTGTTTCTAGCACTACAAACTATTGTGCCAAAAGAACTGTATCAGATGCCATAGCCTTTAAATGTCTTAATTGAAAATTTTAAAGTGTTATGAGATTTTGAGAGGCTGAAAAACAATGAAATTCAAAAAATCCCGAGAATTTCTATGTAATCAAACCGAAAGTTCTTTAATAACTATAATTTATATTTTTTTCTTTGAAGAATTATGCTTCTTCCTTTTAACCATTAGTTCGTAAAGCTATTGGAGCTAATCGAACTTTAACTGAATAAAAATCATGTTTCAGTTACAAGGGATTTTGGACCTGTGCAACTCTCCCGGACTTCTAGAGGAAGAGACGCGCTGGAAGCTCAAAGAAATGTTTCCAAACCTACAAGATGTTAACACACCAAGTAAAACCGTTTACGCTTCCTAACTCTATTGGAGAATATGAAAAGCATTTTCTCAGGTTTTACTGCTCGCTCTGATGTTGGACAGTGTAGTCCGCGACCATCAACAGAATCAAGTTCTAAAGCAGAAAATGATGATGATGTCGATGACGAAGCAAAAGATGTAATTTTTTATTTAGTGATTTATGTTTCTCTAGTTGAGAATAACTAATTGCTAAAACAATTTAAGGAAATCGGCGAGACGTTGCAAAAACTTTCTAAAAAGTTTGGACTGCAACAAGTGAGTGATGATGAGGAATTTGTTGCAATGCCGATCTCAAGGCGACGAACAACTGAGTATGATGAAACGGCAAGTTCAATGTTATTTTTTTTCAATATACTTTTTTTGATTGATCACAATTCAAACAAGCAAAAAAACAGATAAAGATTTTATCAAGATCTGAAAGAAATGTTCAGGTTAAATAGGCGAATTTATGTAAAGAGTAGAGTATCTTGACACTGCAAAGATCAGTAAT